CAACTATGTCGCTCCGCGAATACGCCATACGAATCGTACAACGTTCATAAGGCTTCCCCTCAGTCGCCATGCACCAAGAAGAAAACTTAACCCACTCCCTGATGCGAGACCGAAGAGTCGAAGCACGTAGGTTCCCGGAGCTGGTCATCAAAATTTTCTCTGGGTCCGTAGCAAAAATGGCATGATGACAAACTGGCATCTTGCATTCCTTAAGAAGGGCCACAAGCCTGTTCCTCCAGCGAACCAACTCTACTGCCTCCACTCGCGCACGCGAATGAGGCTCAGTAGCCAGTGCCAGCTCCTTGTCCCTTCGCGTGGGCCACCTAAGCAGAAGCCTCTTGGCCCCAGACTTTGAAGAAAGCCACTCCTGAGTCGGAGGAGCTGCCTGCAGTTGGTCCTGTAAAGAAGGCGTCACAGAATGAACCTGGGTAAAACCATGCATCGCCCTCGCTCGCCAAACACGGCCTGCAGAAGATTCGGAAGAGGAAACCAGATGCATCAAGATACGTAAAGATGACATCCATTCCACCGACCCAGGACCATAGCCGAGTTTCTCCAGAAAAGATGACACATCATCCTCCCCAGAAAACAAAGTCGCGAGAACAGCAGAGCTCGGCTGAGCACCATCTTTGCTAAAAGAGAACCTGATCCGTCGAGACAGCGAATCCCAATCATGAATATCTGAAGAGCCTTCGGAGGGACCCCCTGCCACGACTGCGAACGCAGCGCCTGCAGAAGGCATTTCAGCCAAAGCCCCTGAAGAAGGCCAGCCAGGCCAGAATCAGTGTACAGACCAAGCGCAGCACAGCAATATATAATTGTTCGGAAGTAGAGAAATCAGTTGCAGTCAGGGCAGCCACATCAGCGGGGTGCAACCACTCAGGCAAAAGCAGCGAGATCTGGATCGAGAATGCACCACAATTCACTAGCGGCAGCACTGCTAGGGGGTGACGCACTTGTAGAGACAGCAGACCAGCTGTCCTCGTCTTCCATGCGCCCCTCCTCTACAACGAAATTTCACGAGTGACTACCTAGGAGCCACACGACTGCTCACTGCATAGAATGATTTCACACTCAATCAAGGAAATCATTGGTGCAATCAGTCAAAAATTTCGTTGATTAAAACAATCAAAAACTTCAATGGCATGAAATTTCCAACATGCGAAGAAAACGATCTAAGGAAAACCCCAAAGATCGGGAGAAACGTTTTCGAGGTAAAGGCACTCGAAAACATGAAAAACTGAAACTCAAAAACTCACTTTTTCCTTTCTGTGCGCAGCAACGTGGTCATTGCCCTGCGGGGGCAGTTGGTAGGCAAGCCATGTATTATGGCCCGGCGTGAAGCTACAGCAACAGTGCTCTTGAGACAGCACTGCACAGTACCTACGCTCAACAAAGCAGAACTAGTTCAAACTCGACTCGCAGCGGGCTGCTTAGCAGAGCAGTCGAGTAGTGGAGTGCATGCAAAGCAACAAAAAGATGATATCATTAAGCAGCAAGACCTACAGCCTAAGGCGTAGCTACTGCTTCACTCGCTCAGACTCACACTCAGCTCACTCCAGCACTGTTCAGAAGTGCTTTGCAGGCGGTCGCAGGTAGCGAAACTCTGTTGAGAGACGACGCTAACTGCGGAGGCGCTTGGGGCTGGGCAAGGTCTTAGAAGTTACAGGAGTCAGGGCGGTAGGGCTTAGGGAGGCAGGTAGTCTGAGCTGTTGTAGAAGGCGCCTACAGCAGCAAGCGGCAGACTACTTGCACGTCCAAAACCAAAACCAAAACTCTCTGCGCAGTTTGCGAGGCAGCAAAGGGTGGCTTCTAGACCCGTTGCAAACACAACAAGTAGCAGCTAGTTTCTAACCAGTGGCGCTGTGTGGCTTTAAGAGGCTTTGCTGCAACGCTGTCGTCACTAAGCAGGAAGGCCGGTGCATCACCGTCGATGGCCAGGGCACACCGGTAGTGACCTGCATGGACGCTTGCACCCTCATGCACCACAGCAAAGCAGAGCTGGTAGGGCACAGGCTGTGTTGTGAGAGAGGCCTCTGCAGTGAAGCACGGCACAAGGATCCTGGCCGCAGGGCTGAGCGTCACTGGTGCGCGCAGCTTGCAGACATCTGGGCCTACCTGTCTGTAGCGTTTNNCGTTTAAGCTGCAGAAAGAAGAACTGTGGCGCCGCTTCAAGCGCAAAAGTGGCTTCCTGCAGTTGCCAACTGTCGATCAGAGATTGCAGCGAAACACCTTGGGTTTGCTCGGGAACTGTCAAGGGCAGTGGTGGCGGGATGGCACCTCGATCTCTGCAGTCAACGATGTCACCATCATTGAGCCTATCTGCCCATGTGCCGGCAAAGGCTTCGGAGCGAAGTTTCTGTAGCAGAAAAGCTAAAAACTCTGAGGCATCTTGCTGCTGCGCCAACTGAGTCCAGCCGCGTAGGAGGCTTGCCCATGGGAGCAAGCCGGGCACGTAGATGGGGCGCCTAGCGGTGCCTGCGCGCAGACTGCGCAAAGCCGAGGCAAAGGCACCATAGATGGGCGCCCTGCTTCTGTCGCCTGCCCAAAGCAATCCAGTCACGATGGCGTTTAGGTAGCAAACGTTGTGTGGGTATTTTGAAGAAGACCGAGTGGGGCCTCACTCCTCCATCGCTGCCTGCTTCTGTTTGGCGTTCGAGTGTCGCTGCTGGGGTCTGCCCCGTGGCTGCGTTGCACGAAGAAGGGCTTCGGCCTCCTTCGATAACACCATCGCCAGTGGTTGGCGGCGTTGGCGCTCCTTTGCGATGCGGGTGCACATCAGGCGGGTCGCGTTGCAGTCGGTCAAGAGGAGCATCGTCGCAAAGAGCTGGTCGGCCTCCTCACCGTCATCAGAAATGCGAGGATGTTGGAGTCGTAATTCTCGGCAAGGGGGCGTGTGGCCCTGAGCTTGTGAACCAAACTGGAGTCGCTCAGGAGTTTCAAGAGCCGAGCCACGCTGTCCAGGATCTGGGCATGGGTGATGGGGGCGCGACTCGTGTCGATGATCGCCTCCCACCGTTCTGGGTTTCACTTGGAGTACGTCCAGCACGGGCTCGTGCCCGACTCCTGGAGCCAACCCTCCTTCAAGTAGGCCTCTTTGAACTCCTCCTCCAAGGCGTGACGGAGCCTCTCGTGAAACTCGGTCATGTACGCCAGAAGTAGAGTGGTTCGGAGGGAGAGAGACAGCTTCTCCGGCGTCTCGTCTCGGAGCTTCTGCCACTGTTGGGCAATGGCGAAGAAGTGGCCCGCGAATGACGGGATCGGGCGGTAGGTTCCGGTCGTCCGCGTCTTCAGGTAAAACAGGAAGGCGTTGTCGGCTCGAGTCGCCGCCAGATCGTCTTCTTGGCGTGGGCTCAAGCGCGTCACCAGTGCGCGGCGTACCTGTACCGGGACAGGCAGGGGAGCGTTGTCGGGGATGTGTTTGTGCTCAAGGCATGTCGAGGTCTATGCTTTGCGTGCTCGCTGCTGCTGGAATTGTATTTTCCCGCCAGCTGTCGCCAGGCGCTTGCAAGACTTAGTCCGCATGTGTGGGCTGTGTGCGACCGAGATCGCCAAAGACTTCAATTAACCTTTTTCTGAAGGCAGAACAAGAGGAACTGGAGACTCGACAAATCGTTCAGTGTGGAAACAGCTATCTGTTGTAATTCTGGGGGGGGCGGGCTATAGACTTGACTGTGTCCTCGACCCAGGAAGTCAGACTGGCATGGGTGGCGTCGCGTGCTGCAGGCCATTGGTTCTGGGTCGCACGGAAGACTTTGCTACAAGTGCAGGATGGGGAGTGGATGCGGAAACTAGGGATGACGGCTCGACTGCCTTCCCGCGCGGACTTTAGCATGGAAGCCTGGGCGATCGCGGAGAAGGACCTGTTGGAGGACGCCTGGGCCGTCCTACTGGAAATGGTTCTCGCCAGGCAGGCTCCTTTAGAAAAGGCTTTGCCTGCGTGTCGGTCTTCCGTCTGTCTCTGCGCGTTTGTCTCTGCCCGTGCACACCTCGATTTCGCTCTCGCTCTCGCCCCCTCTCTGTCTCCTTCGGTTAGTCGGCTAGGTCTGTCTTCGAGAAGGCGTGCCGTGGATGTTCTGCGACGCAGGTCATGGAGCCAGTGCATCTACAGCAACACGATGCCGGCGTTGCTTGCTACAGTGCTGTCCCCACACTCTGAGGTGCAGGAGTGGGGTATGACTACAGCCCGTCAGCTGTTCGAGGCTGTGCGCAAGGCCAAGAAGTATATCAAGGAAAATCAGAACCAAGTCAGCTCCACACTGCAGTCCATGTTGGCCGATGCTGCCTACCTTCGGACGCAACTAGCTCTCGAGTGCTTCCAGGTTCTTCACAACGCAAACTACGATGCGAAGGACAGCCAGGTTCAGTTGCAGGCGAAGTTAATTTGGTCAGGACCCAACCAGACCAAGTTCACGGCAGAGGACGTCTTCGGTCATTTGGCTCACGTTGTTCAGCGGAGTACCAAGGGAGGTCACAAGCTGAACAAGTCTTAGCCCTAGCTTGGGATGCGCGGACACGTGGGCAGATGCCGAATTTCTGCAGCTAGCTGCAATCTTGGAGCGTGCTGCTGAGGTGGCTGAAATGGTTGTACATGACATCAGCGGCCTCTCCCAACCGTCTCAAGTTCACACATGTGGAGCCGAGCATGCAGGACGTCTTGCACGGCCGGATAGCTGATGAGGGCGAAGGGAAGACTGCTGGCACCTACTTCGTTCCCGCAGCGAAGCTCCCTGAAGAGCTGACTTTTCAGTCTCTCAAGGAGGCACAAGCCGCTCAAACTCCCTGCGCATTATGCAGGCGAGCTTGAATGATCCATGTTGTGAATTGATCGAAATTGCTGCCAGGTGCAGCAGGATTGGGGCATTGCTGGGTCTTTGGCGGAACAACGAGCGGCGACCGCCAGTGCCGGACTGGTCTTGGGCGCAAGCGGAAACTTTGAATGCGTCACAGACCTTTGGACAGGACCTGTCGAAATGAACAAGTGCGAATCTTGTTTGGCTCTGTGTAGCTAGAGTCTTAGAGGCCAGGCGTGCGCGTTACAGCGTTCGCAACTGCCAGGTTGTCTCTGCCAGCCTGGTCTGATCCTCCGCAAGACCCTCGGTGGTGCTGCGTACCTGGCCCTTGGACATCGGAAATGGATGTCCATGGGCCTTCCGGTGATGCCCCTGCGAGCCCGTGATGGAACTGTGTCCTGGCTCAGCATCCGTAATCTTCCAAGCCGTGCACCTGTTGTTTTCGTGTATAGAAAGCACCGCTTAGGAATACTTTGTCTTGGAGACGGCGCCCTTGGAGCATGACAAAGTGTGTATACCCACTTGGCTGGCCAATTTCGAGGTGACAGACACAACCGACAAATGGAGCGCAGCCGCGCTCAAGCCAGTGATCCCGTCTCTGGTCACTGGTCCCGCCAGAACTTGGTTCCAGAACGTGCGTGCTCTCGCTGACGAGTCCATGGGAAAGCCTGCTCAAAGCGGCAGTGCGCAAGGGCCTCAGCAGCGTCAACGCAGAAACCCTGAAGCTCATCGTCAAAGTGAACCAAGTACCCCTACCTCCGTCGGGGTCTGGCGCAGAGAACCCGAAGACCAAGATCCGGAATCTCATCAGAGTGGATTATGCAAAGGCTCTCGTGCATTGGCTCTTTCCGGATCTGCCTCCAGACCATGCTGACTTTCAGCAAATGCTGCAATGCTTGGCGGGCAACAGCAAGAAGAAGGTGACCGATTGTCCAGAGAGTGTCTTGGAAGCCGTTCAGGCTCTCGACCGTGAGAATGCCGAGACGTTCAAGGATCTCCAGAAGTATGCTTTGCAAGCGAAAGCAGAGAAGGATGAAATCAAAGCCGGCAGAGGCTCTGGTCCCGCACAGCATGCAAGTCTGCTATTCCTAAGTACGAACAAGATGTGCGTAAATGGCTAGCTAGGTGTGGCATTTCAGCCAAATGCCCAGCGCCAGCACTACACTCCCAAGGAGTTGTCCCCTGCATACAACTTCAGGAATCAGAAAGAGACTGATGTTCGATGTTTTCTGTTGTTTTAGCTCACTTGTCACTTGTCGGTCACCGTCTAAAACGATCTATCCCAGGATTCCGCTCCTACCTGGTCGTGGGAAGTTGGTGGGGTGTTTCATCCAGAGACACCCTGTGCGATGCTTCTACGAAGGAACATATCCAGGCGTCTTGGCCGCATTAGTTCTCATGTTGTTGCGGTGAACGTAGCTTGGATAAGTTGCGCGAGAAAGCCTGGCGCAGTCGCCATGAAAGAGAACGGCACGGGACGGACATCGTGCACATGGAAAGGGGTACGAAAAAACATGGAGGAATGGGAGGCGCTACAAGCAGTGCTTGAAAAAATGTGGACATGGCATCTCCTCGAGACGCCGGATACAGACAACATCCGGTGCTCTGGCAGCAGTACCGAACGAAAGTTTGGATTTTGAAGCATCCAAGCCCCCACTGTGTCACTTCTCATGTGATTTGCCTGCATCCCCCGAGATCCTATAGCTAAAGCAAAGTAACCGGATTCCGAGGCCTTCTGACAAAGAGGTCCAAGCTGTCGTCAGACGTTTCACTGAGTCTACAGGTTTCTTGGATGCTGGTGCCGCTTCTAGCTCCGAGGCTCCCGTCGCAGGCAGGCTGCCCAAGGCAGCAGAGTCGAGGCCACGTGGACGTGGCCGGGGCAAGAAATGACGCTGCCTAAGGCAGCAAAAGCAAGAAGGTCTTGAGACCACGTGGACGTCGCCGGAGCAGTAGGTGGAAAATGTCCGGGACCAGACAAGTAGAACCGAAGAGTTGTAGCGCTGGAGTTCTTTGAGCATTGAGCCTAGTGCCTACAGTTCGAGGACAGATGCTACATCTTATTTGTTGGTAATAGGCTCAGATACCCCGATGATGCAGCCAATAGCATGCACAACACTAATAATCGCTAATAAGGCTTATCAGTGCTTAATAGTCTTTAACAAGCCTTTATACACACTAATAGCCACAAATAAGACATAGCCTCTATAAGGTATGCAGCGCCAAACTATTTCGAGTATACCTCCACCCCCCCCCCCCCTTCCACCCCCCCCCCTGCTCATG